GCATTCTCTAGTTTAAAAAATATTTAGTTTTTTAGGAATCTATATTACCACTCTTAAAGTATTAATATATAATATTAAATAGGATGGAATTTATAAATAACCATGCCGTAAACTTTGTTTTTTCAAATTATAATTTAAAAAAAATATTTAATCAATAATTCTAGCAACGTCTAAAACCGTAACCTGTGTTTGATGTTTTGAATGACGTCCCGTTATTAAAGGGATCCAAAATTTTACTTTAAGCGTAAATAGTACTGACATTATAAAAATGGATGTCATCAGAATTGAATTGAAGTATGTTATAATAAAGCTACCATTTTTAGAATTTGAAACAAAACATACAGTTAAGTATTCAATAAGTAAAATATATTGTTTTTACAAGGATACATATTTAATTCAAAAGATTTATTATATTTATTACCTAATGAAATTTAGAGCGTTTTATTGTGTTTTTCACACAAGTATTAGCTACACATGGTTTATTTCGCTATTCTGGTGAAAGTTATTTCCCTTGAATAAAATTTTGTAGTTTGAAATTTTCAAATGGGAGGTAATTCGTTGCTTAATTTTACATTCGTTTCAAATTCCTGCACTTTAGGTTCACCGCGTTCATATAAATACAACTTTAAGTTATTATTTGCTATTGTAAAAATTATATAGAGCTTAAGTTCCTAACCAAATATTTTGCTAGGTTTTTGTAGCATTATCAAGTTGAAAAACAAATACATCAGTAGCCGTTGTAGATTGCAATACCTATGTTAGTAGACATACCGTCTTAGTCGTAGACCAAACATCTAATTATTGGCTTTTCAGATTTTTCACCCTCTCCTAGAGGTTTCATATGTAACAATTTTAGGTTGGAATCTATAACATATATATATATATATATATATATATATATATATATATATATATATATATATATATATATATATATATATATATATATATAGGGCCTATATATATATATATATATATATATATATATGTTATAGATTCCAACCTAAAATATATATATATATATATATATATATATATATATATATATATATATATATATATATATATATATATATATATATATATATATATATATTTAAAACAAAAAAATCGTTATATAATCTCACAATATAGACATTTTACAATTATAACAAAAGACAGTCAAGTCTGGAACTCACCTTGGGGGGTCTGCAGAGAGCCCAACACTATAAGAACTGTTTTTTTTCAGTGGGTTTCCTTCCAGACTTTTTTCTCCCGGGAGGGGTGGGGTGGGGGGGGGGAAGCACTTAAAATGTTCTAAGGAAGGGCGGGGTCTATGTCGTAGTAACAAGTAGACTCGTAGACTTCAATTAGAAACAATTTCAATAGAATGTGATTACGCTTGCAAACTGGAATTGAAGGAATTAGTACAAACTTTTGCGACGGGAGAGGCAAGTAAAATTTGATTTTGATTTCTACTTATAACGTGTAGGCAATTGATAATAAATTTAAATGTCACTTTTAATTAATTGTTTTCTTATACATCTGTTTTAGAAATTAACCTGTGTGTAATGGGGGTGGTTTAATTAGTTTCGCCTAGGGCGCTAAATAACCTGGCGCCGGCACTGTGTATACATTATATATATATATATATATATATATATATATATATATATATATATATATATATATATATATATATATATATATATATATATATATATATCCATAGTCTTAAACTTAAGATGGTGTGTAATATGGTACGTCTGTTATATCGGCGAGTTAAGCGGAAGAGCGTTAAGCTACCAAACCGACAGTCTCGAGTTTGTATCCGCGTCCAAGTCAGTAGAACGTTTCTGAGCAGTGTTTCTTCCAGACTTTTTTCTCCGGGGGGGCACTTGAAATCTTCGGGGGGGGGGGGCGGTAGACTTTCTTCGGGGGGGGGGCGGACACTGTTAAAAGTAAATATTTTCTATATAAATTATATAAATTTCATTTCGTTCGGGGGGGGGGGGGGGGGCGGTAAAATTTTTTCGGGGGGGCTTTGCCCCCCCCCGAAGAGATGCCTGGAAGAAACTCTGTTTCTGAGTCTACCCAGCGCTAATGAATACCTAACTCACGTTAGGGAAAACAAAGGCGGCTGGGCATAGTGCTGACTACATCTTCCATTCATATACCGAGGTTAAGAAACATGAACTCTACTTCATCTGCCCAATGGATCGGTAGGTCTAAAGAGGATACTTTACCTGTGTCATGATAGTTACCACAGGAGTCTAAGACTGTAAACACCTGACCCACTAAAATCAAAAGTTAAACAATTTTTTTAACGGAAAAGTTTTCCAATCGTGTGGTCAACTTTAGCCCAGGTCAACATCGTAAAGCTGTCACACGTGACCTGTCTGACGAGTGTACCTCGTGACCCCTGACCCCTCTACCTGGTCGCGGGTCAACCCATCCCTCCCCTGGTGGGTTTCTATGCCCCCCCCCCATTTGATAGTCGTCGGTGGTCTCCATTGATCGGTAGCCGCGGGGAGGCCAGGAGATCGCCCGACCGGGAAAGGTAATGGGGGAGGGGGGGGGGGGTAAGGTGGTGGGAGGTGGTTTGAAAGTATCGTCGACATGGACGGTGTAACTTTTCTTGTAATATCCATTTTACTCTGCTGAAAAAGTTGATACAAGATCGTGTGTATAGATAGTGTAGAATTTTTTCCCTTTATTTTTCAGAAACCTCATTTTCTATTTAAAGTTTCAATTTTGTACGGGCAAGGGTGGTGTGTGGGGTTTGGAGGTTTACTCCCCCCATCCTCCTACTTTCTGAGAGATGCGTGAAAAAAAAAAAACTTCTTAAAAAGAAACTGCTAAAATGTTACTTTTTAAGAGACTGCTATCTACAAATTCCAGATTGAGCTTTTTATGGCCAAATACTAATGTATAGAAATAAAACTTGGCCGACTACTTTCAAGGGTTCCCTACCACTGAAGCCTGACCATTGACTGACCAACAGATGCGGTGTAGCAAACTAAGAGAACACCGTGTGAAGTAAATGGGGCGACGGTAATGACCCCTCCCTTCTCCTCCCAGTTGCTGATGCAGATGTAGATTGGACTGTCATAATGTTCGACTTAGCCCACAGCTACACAAGTTTGTTAATGTCTTCGTGTGTCACATATCCACAATACATACACTGTGTGTATACGCAATATATATATATATATATATATATATATATATATATATATATATATATATATATATATATATATATATATATATATATATATATATATATATATATATATATATATGCCCTATTTACACATTTATTATATGCCTTTATTTATATATAAGCCCATAACTTACAAATACATATATAGTATATAACGTAGGTACATATGTATACTTTACATGAACCTGTATTTATAGATTTTTAGGTCTTATATATATATATATATATATATATATATATATATATATATATATATATATATATATATATATATATATATATAGGCCTATATATATATATATTGTATTTATTATAAACATGTAATAAATATTAGTGCTTTATTCCCAAATATGATAAAATAGTTAAAACACACACTGATTCGAGATGTAATTTTAAACAACCTCAAACAGCTGGTATTTCTTATGACGGATCTTGACCATAGGGCGCCGCTAAAGCCCTGTCCAGAAGAGGAAGCGGAAGACAAAAAATATTGAATGTTGACATTCGTGGGGAGGAGGGTAAAATAGATGAGGGGCAGGGAGGGGGTGTGGGATATTGGTGCCGTGTTGTCAAACAAAGATGGCGAGGGGGGGGGGGGGGGATTACGGCGACGTAGCGCACAAACGCGAAGCTCTGGGGAAATGTGGTCAGGGTGTCGGGCCCTGTGGGACACCAAGACCTGCCCGGGGAGGAATGTGGCGCTGCAGGGCCGGGACGCCCGGGGGCGGGGCCGGTTAACATTTTGATTGTTGTCTTTGGTCACCGTACACCGGGCAAGCGTCAGGGGTTTTGAAATTTTGGAAGGGGGAAAAAATGTGCCGTTTTTTTTTATGTGTGGTCAAATACACCGAGTGGTTGCAGCTTGTAGCATTCCAATCTTTCTGGTGAATAGTAAGATACAGCTTTCTTATTTACGCTCTCTCTCTTTCTCTTTCTTACACACACACACACACACACACTCACACACTCACACATTCACACACACTCACTCACTCACACACTCACACACACTCACACACACACTCACACACACTCACGCACACATACACACACATGTTTTTTGACTATTTTGAGTTTTAACTTTCGGATTACTAATATATTAACCGTTTTGCGTGATGCTTTATTGTGTTATCTTACCAGTGTGTTGTAGTTAGTCAATAGGGGTGATGCTTATAGGACGGATTAAACAGAAGGGGAAGTGTTAGGATTAGCGACATCAGCTAAATGTAGCTTTAATATGGGCTCTGAGGTTAACAGAGAAATAACCGGGTTTAGGTTAAGTTCAGGAACACGGTAATTAATTTTTTTTTTTTTTTTTGCAGTTTAACTTTAATGCGCAAACGAAATGTAAAATACATTAGTCACTTGTAAAAAAAATTGCTTTTGCCCCTTTAATACGATTTATAATTCCACCCCTCTCCACTTAATTTCGTACTCTAAGTCGGTCTCAGGTTTTTTTAATAACATTTTTTTCTCAAAAAAAAACAAAACAACAACAACAAAAAACAGCAAACAACTACAACCAACAACAGCGTTTAAACAACTTTTATTCCGTTAAACGCGTTGCTATAAGGTTCCTAATAATCGACTTGCGATTACTCGGGCTAGCGGTAATCGAGTACGTCATTACGCCGTGACTGTTCGTGGCCTAACGAGGGAACTTAGTCTTCGCAGGCACTATGATAGCCCCGCTTGCCGACTGAGGCACGAGGGCTTTTAAAAAAACGAGTTAGAAAATTAACCATTTCTGCGAACGGAGTTAACGTCTACTTTTCTCTCTATACAGGATAACAAATAAGATTGTGGTTGTAATTCTTAAAGTGAGATTAGTTTTGATGTGTTTTGGATTAGATTGTGAATATGGTGGTAATCGGGTGTTTATTGTGAATTGGTCGATATTTAGAGAAACCTTTTTTTTGCGTGGTTGGTGTAAGTAGGTTATTGCAAGTGGAAACAGGTGGGATATATCGTCTGCTGGATCCAGCAGGAGTTTCCGTGAACAGGTACGTTATGTTGATATGTGGGTCTGTTATGTGAGTGTGTGTTACTGTAGGGTTGCTATAGTCGTTGTTTAATATGTATGTGGGTCTGTTATGTGAGTGTGTTACTGTAGGGTTGCTATATTTAATGTTACTAAGGTAGTTAATGTTTGTTTATGTGTGGTTTGGTAGTGTTGATATGTGGGTCTGTTATGTGAGTGTGTGTTACTGTAGGGTTGCTATATATAAAGTTGTTAAGATAGTTGGTTAATGTATATTATGTGTGGCTTGGTAGTGTTGATATGTGGGTCTGTTATGTGAGTGTGTGTTACTGTAGGGTTGTTAAAGTCGTTGGTTAATGTATATGTGGGTCTGTTACGTTGATAAGTGGGTCTGTTATGTGAGGGTGTTACTGTAAGGTTGCTATATGTAATGTTGCTAAGGTAGTTGGTGAATGTATATGTAGCTTGGTTATGTTGATATGTGTGTCTGTTATGTGTGTGTTACTGTAGGGTTGCTATTAGGGCATTAGTTAATGTAGATAGATATATTTGGTTTGGTTATGTTGATATGTGTGTCTGTTACGTGAGTGTGTTACTGTAGGGTTGCTATAGTAGTTGGTTAATGTATATGTGTGGCTTGGTTATGTTGATATGTGGCTCTGCTATGTGAGTGTGTGTTACTGTAGGGTTGCTATATATAATGTTGCTAAGGTTGTTGGTGAATGTATATGTGGCTTGGTTATGTTGATATGTGGGTCTGTTATGTGAGTGTGTGTTACTGTAGGGTTGCTATAGTCGTTGGTTAATGTATATGTGTGGTTTGGTTATGTTGATATGTGGGTCTGTTATGTGAGTGTGTGTTACTGTAGTGTTGCTAAAGTCGTTGGTTAATGTATATGTGTGGCTTGGTTATGTTGATATTTGAGTCTGTTATGTGAGTGTGTGGATATTGTGAATATGTAGATAGATAATGTGGTCTTTTGGTAAGGTTATGATGTAATGTTAGAGGGAAGGGAGGGGCAACTACAGTAACAAATAAAGTACTCTTTCGAACCCGACGGTCCATGTTGCAGGTGAAGTAGAGTTCACCTGCTTCAATTACCCTAAATACACTTACCCTAACCACACTTACCCTAACCACTTACCCTAACTACTTACCCTAACCACACTTACTCTAACCACACTTATCCTAACCACACTTACCCTAACCACACTTACCTTAACCACACTTAACGTAACCACACTTACCCTAACCACGGTTACCTTAACCATACCTACATTTTCTACCTTCCTAACAATCGCTCTACTTTCCAACCTCCCCCCCCCCACCCCTCCCCTCACATACTCACCTTAACCCCAATTCTGACCCGCACACTTATCACGAGCAGTCGCGACATCTGTTTTGCATAAGTCGTGTATAAATTATCTCAAGGGTCCCCACCCCCACCCCAGCTACAGGTAGGGGAGGCAACAACGCACAGAAACTCTGTAAACAAAGCCGAGAGTTATCGGTCCTGCCAATCCCCCACCCCCCAACACCACCGCTAAACCCACAAGACAATGCCTGCTGTTCTATTAAAGCTGTCTACACATGGAAATATAACAGGAAACAAGTGGCTTAAAAAATAAAAAAATAAAAACTACACAGCAACGTTTTACAATCTAATCTAACCTAACCTTTACAATATTTAACATTAATCCAACATGACGTCATTTCTCGCCGCAGTTTTAAATTTCACACTAAAATCATCTAGCCGTGTCGCCTTTTAAAGAATGGGCGCCGTTAGGTATAAATAACCTGTTGCAAAGATCACATGACGCCCGTGTGTGATCTTTTGTTTCCTAATAAAAGTGTCTTGTCCGCGTTCGTCATCAGTGAAGTTACATTTTTTGTACCTGTATGAAAACCGACAGGGCATATCGAAACAGCAATTTTACACCGTCCTTAACCCTGATCCAAATAATAAAAAATAAAAAATCCATAGACGCACTTTAGCAATGACTACGATCTTTTTTTTTTTAAACCCTAATCCTTACCCTAAGCGCAGCTCTTAACATAGCCTTTACTCATGAGCTTGTCCCTCGCTTAAACTCTAAGCTTAACTATCTAATCAAAACCCTAGACTCAAACCTAATCATCATAATTCTGACCCTCAGTGTTTGTTCCAGGCATCTCTTCGAAGCCCCCCCCCCCCCTACGAGATGGAATTTATATAGTAAACATATACTTTTTACTAGTGTCCTAAGGTCTAAATTGCTTCTAAATTTTTTTTTATAAATCAGATACATTTTCTACATTTTTTTAGCTTATTATGATACCGGGTTTGAGAAAGCTATACATCAGTTATGTTTCGTCATTAACATACGATATATATATATATATATATATATATATATATATATATATATATATATACTTTCTCCGGGAATCGCCTCTTCTTATATATGCCTGGCGCAGGGTATGGAATCAAACACACAAGTCCAATTCAAGATAATAAGAATATTCTTTATTTATACACCAATCTAACTATTCTAACTACAACTTACGCTCGACTTTCACTAACATTATCTAAATGCAACTAACACGTCTAAAATATCAAGTTTATGTCGCATCTGCAAGTGGTCGATCTAATACAAGCACTTTAAAAATGTATAGTTTATATAAGGCCTTGGTCAATCCAGGTCGATTTCGATCACTTTAAAAGCGATAGTCTACCGCCCCCCCCCCCCCTACCAACGAAATGAAATTTATATAGAAAATATACTTTTAATGAGCGTCCGCCACCCCCCCCCCCCTCCCCCGGAGAAAAAAAAGTCTGGAAGAACCACTGATTGAGATGACTCGTAATTTTCTCGTTAGAATGAGAGTGAGCCACACACTTTGTCAATAACAAATTACCTGCAAGCACCCGGTCTAATTTAGGGTGTAAGCAACCCCCCCCCCCCCACTTTGCTCTTATCTATAGACACACAATTTTTTTTACACATGTATGATATAACTTGTACTGCAATCAACGACCATTAAACTTCCCAGTTCACTCGACCACAGCACGCGTGTGTCCCGTTCCCCCCCCCCCCCCCCCCATCATGTTGTAAGTCGCCCGCGACCTCCCTGGCTTAACTGTTGACTTAATTTAAATTTGAGGGTTAATCCCGTTAATCCGAGTTAATCTCGCGTGATTATGAGATGCGATTTGAACCTTGATTACCCGCTGTCATCATACACCCCCTCCCCTCCCCCACACTAAACTACAGCAGACTTCCTTTTTGCTATATCACCTCGACACACGTCTGTGTAAAATTAGTGTAAAGCTAGCCGTGTGTAAAGCTAGCCGTGTGTTAAGTTAGCAGTGTAAAGTTAGACGTGTGTAAAGCTAGACTGTGTAAAGCTAGACTGTGTAAAGTTAGACGCGTGTAAAGCTAGCCGTGTGTAAAGCTAGACTGTAAAGCTAGCCGTGTGTAAAGCTAGACGTGTGTAAAGCTAGACTGTAAAGCTAGCCGTGTGTAAAGTTAGACGCGTGTAAAGCTAGAGGTGTGTAAAGCTAGACTGTAAATCTAGCCGTATGTCAAGCTAGACTGTGTAAACCTTGACTGTGTACACCTATGCTAGTGTAAAGCTACTCGCGGGTTAAGTCTAGAATAAAGTTTATGTTTAAAGCTCTTGTAAAACCTAGACCCGCGTAAATGACATACATCAAAATTCACATCCGAGTTTCATTTATCAAAAGACATACAAAATGGTGGTTACCGATAAAATAATAATAAAAAAAAAAACATCACAATCTAATCAACCACGTGAACAACACCTCAGTGTTATCTATATCTTAAAAACATCTTCTAAAACACTGTTGACTGATGAAGACTTGTGGTCGAAACGTCCGTCGCTGCTATAATTGTACTTTAGTTTTGGTTTTACTAGTCTATACGTTTACATTTTCTGTTTCTTTCACAAGACGTAAACCTAGTATAGCCGCCTAGCTTCTGCCTACTTTTGTTAAAAAAATATTTTGTATTGCCTGTTTGGTCATCAATCTAAAGTAAACATTTAGTGAACTACTAAACTTTTCACAAACTAAAACAGTCATACTAAGATGATCTCCTTAAAGCTGACTTAAGTCAACTAAACGTTAAGTCAACTTTACGCTTTTTTCAAGTAACAAAAAAGCTAATTACGAATTTTCTTTTTATTCAGCTAATTAAAACAAAACATGTCAGTCTCTATCATTTTCGATTTCGTTACCCAGTACTTAGGGTCACAAGGTAACTCTAAACACCGAAACGTACATTTGTTTTGTACATTCAACACGTAAAGCCAATAAGAGCTCCTCTCGGCAATATCTACTGTTTAGTCAAGGTATTTTAGCACCTGTATGCGACGTTGCGTGTTTACCTTTGCCGATAAAAGGACCAAGTTCGATTTTTTTTTGAACAGTAATATCTCATTGATTTTATGGTCGTTCGATTATTGATTTTTTGACGTGATTAGACAGGGAGAAAGAAAAACACTTCTATAGCAAATATTTCTTAATGACGTGACTAGATATCGTAAGTAGTTTACAGATAACACTCGACTGGGCTTATGTCTATGTAACATTATACAAGCAGTTATAATATATATAAATATACACATATATATATATATATATATGTGTGTGTGTGTGTGTGTGTGTATGTGTATGTGTGTGAGTATGTGTTGTATGTATGTAACGAGTACCAGTTTTGTGGGTGATAAAAATACTTGCCTTGCAGTTGAATTAATAAAATTATTATAAATTGGAAGAATTTGCCAATGTTGAAAGGGCCACACATTAAATTCAAGTTAACACATATTTATAGTTTGAAGCTTTAATAACGAATGCTTTTGGGGCGCCTAAAAAACCGCCCGTCGCTGCTTAGATAATTTTTATCTGCAATTAGTGCTAGAAATTTGTTATCATAGTCGCTGGGTGCACTTAGTCACCCGTGTACACCTGTAACGTTGGCGTCGACGTGCTCATTCATGTGGAACAAAGCACCCCCCCC